TTTTATGAATTGGCTCTGCTCTGTCACTGTCTCTGTCACTCTTTGTTTAGTGAGTGTACACGATGTATTATAACATACATCGTTTCCCAAACACAACCTCCTTTCACATTTCTTTGTTTTTTTATTTATGAGTTTCTGAAAATGAACTGTTTTTACTTTTATTTCAGAGTTTATTGAAGAAAATGAGAAGAATGAAGAATTGCGTGAAGATAAGGAGAAAAATCTGGAAGTTGCTCTGAAACCAAACAGAAGGGTTTAAAGAAAAGAAGAGCCAAGAAATCTTTCACCTGCACTCAGTGTGGAAAGAGTGTGACAAGCAAATATGGTCTTGATGATCACACCATACAAGTGTTCACACTGTGACAAGAGATTCAGTCATTCATCAAGTCTGAAAACACATGAGAGAGTCCACACTGGAGAGAAACCGTATCACTGCACTGCATGTGGGAAGTGTTTCAATCAATCATCTTCTCTACACAATCACACAGAAAACAATCACAGTAAGTAGATCATCTTCAGATCAGCACTTTCAGCTCTGATGCTGCGTCCTCACCAAATGAGACATGATAATACATAAAGCAATAAAATATAATCTGGATAAATCTGTCCTAACCAGACATTACAAGTGACATGGAAACATGATCTAAAGTTTCACAGTGAATAAAGTTCTTCATCTTCAAAGCCAGCAGATTCAACTGTGAGACTCAGATCAACTCAAAGATGGAGTTCCTCCCCAAAGAGAATGTCAAAAAGTCATTTGCTTTTTTATTTGTTTCATATAATGTTCAATTGTCTTATAGTGCATATGTATCACTTGTAGTTTGCTTACTCTTTCATGAAGGAAAGCAGGAGCTTTTCACAAACCCTTCTCGTTCAGGAAGCTGAAGAAGAGGCTGGAACACTTTTAAGAGAGACTGAGATTTATTTTTTATTTCTTCTTCATTGCTGTTTTTAAAATGACTAGTTATTCTTCCACTTATGAAAAGAAGAGCCAAGAAATCTTTCACCTGCACTCAGTGTGGAAAGAGTGTGACAAGCAAATATGGTCTTGATGATCACACCATACAAGTGTTCACACTGTGACAAGAGATTCAGTGATTCATCAAGTCTGAAAACACATGAGAGAGTCCACACTGGAGAGAAACCGTATCACTGCACTGCATGTGGGAAGTGTTTCAATCAATCATCTTCTCTACACAATCACACAGAAAACAATCACAGTAAGTAGATCATCTTCAGATCAGCACTTTCAGCTCTGATGCTGCGTCCTCACCAAATGAGACACGATAATACATAAAGCAATAAAATATAATCTGGATAAATCTGTCCTAACCAGACATTACAAGTGACATGGAAACATGATCTAAAGTTTCACAGTGAATAAAGTTCTTCATCTTCAAAGCCAGCAGATTCAACTGTGAGACTCAGATCAACTCAAAGATGGAGTTCCTCCCCAAAGAACATGTCAAATGTTCAAAGAGAATGTCAAAAAGTCATTTGCTTTTTTATTTGTTTCATATAATGTTCAATTGTCTTATAATGCATATGTATCACTTGTAGTTTGCGTACTCATTCATGAAGGAAAGCAGGAGCTTTTCACAAACCCTTCTCGTTCAGGAAGCTGAAGAAGAGGCTGGAACACTTTTAAGAGAGACTGAGATTTATTTTTTATTTCTTCTTCATTGCTGTTTTTAAAATGACTAGTTATTCTTCCACTTATGACTTTTAAAAATGCAGATGCAAGATATACTGTCATGTAGCTTTGCAACTGATGCTTCTTTTCTTCTCTTGTAAGTGCAGTAGAGATGGTACCTGAACCCGGTATTAAACGAGCCCTGGGGCTGAATTACGAAAGACAGTATTGATAAGCTCTGATGTTATCGGTTCTGCTTTCAGTACTGGAGAAATTAAGAAAATACACTTAGTATTTATTATTTTTTTATGGAAACAGGATCAAGCTAATTGTATCTTGCCAACCGTTTCTATATGTGATTATATCAAGACATTCGTCTATGATGCATTTTATTTACTTGCAATCCACAAGAGCGAGATCTCTCTTGCACTTTAAGTCCGTGCGATTAATCAAATAAAAATTTTTTGTAATTGTAACTTGTTCAAACATGCTGTTTTTTTATGTATAACAGCCCAACCATACCTAAATACATATAGAATGCTGCACCAAACAAATTCTCAAGGGGAAAAATGTAAACAATAAACAGACTCCATAGAGGATTCGAAGTGATCAAGGTCTTAGGACGTTCCAGTTCAGCCCATTCCAAGGGTTCCGCCAGTAGTGGACACTCATGCAACATAATCAATGACATACATCCGAGTGAACGAGACGGAGGGAAGTTAGCGAGTGAAGGGCCTGATGCGCACACACCTTCAAACAGGTAAGTAAGAGCAACAAACCTTTTTTGTAATGAGATCACGGGGTTAACGGAATTGTTTTCATTATTCCGGTGTTTCTGCATCACATTAGATGGGGTCATGTGTTAAAATGGCAGCGTATGCGTTCAAATGAGTTGTTTGTGGAACAGTGGGCTGCTCAGTTAGCACAGCTGGTAGCCTACCGTTGACATTAGCCTAAGCTAACTTCTATTACATATAGATCTGTCGCAGTTTTACATAAATAAAACCGTTTTTAATCGTGTTGTGACATGGGTCTTCAGCTTTTAGACATGGGTGATGACAGCACAACAAATCAACAAACCCAGTATCGCGTGATAAGCGTGATCATGTAAAAAGTCCACACATTTACCATATTTTTACCATAGTAACTGTTGCTCGACCATGGCATGTGTAGCCAATACACAGTTACTACAGCATATTTATCATGCTTCTCCCACCGTAACCACAGTTTTACTTGTAGTTAAAGCACAATAGCCACAACACTTACTATAGGAAGTGTTCATTCAGAAGATTTAATTTTTCATTTTATTTTAGTATTTTTTATTCTCATAGAAAAACAACATTATAGTCTTTCAATTAATTATGCTACGTCAACATCTGCTGTAACTGTTGTATCTGTATATAACTGTATTCTTGTTAGAGAAAATACAGTTTTTGCCAAAAACACACTTTACACTCTCACTGAACTTTATTAACATTTGACTAAATTGTCAATTTTAGATTTTTCCAAACCCAAGGTACCCTTTCAGTGCGGTGTTAAGCAAGTCAGTCAGTTCCTCTTCTTCTCGGATGCCTCTAGGCAAAAAGAGAACCATGCCACATGTTGATGCGCATGGAAGCCGGCGATTTTCTTGTGTGTAGAACTCGATTCTCGGTTGTCCTGGGAAGCCCAATGAGGGAATGCTATCACCTCCAGTAATAAATACCAGCATCTCCGGAAATGTTATTGTTGATTGTTTTTCTGTAGAATTAAGAAAAGAGGGTGTGAAAGATTTGGTAAGAGAAAACAAACAAAATTTTACATACTACACATATGCATGTCATAATTTATACAGTAGTTATTTTTGATTGGCCGTGTCAAAGTAACTGGCAATACTGTGTCTAAAATGATAAAGTTAGACAACATTATATTTTACTGAAATGTATTGAACTGCTGCTAACACTATTTACATGTCATACCGTATTTAAACACTTGAGTTACCAAGGCGGCTACTGACGTGTTTGTATTACGAGCTGTTATCAGACCCACGGTGCAAAGTGAAACCACATCTGAGCTGACTGGCCCGGATCAGCACAGAATGGAGCGGTTAAGCAATGAGAAAGGTTCGGCCTGACGGTTGAAAAGCAGCTAATATCACACAACTGTTCTTTTGGTCTGAATATCAGAAGAGCTGTTATTACCGGTGGTATTTTATGCCTACAGCAAAATTAATTCAGAACAACAGCACAGCTGTGAGAGTTAGATTGCATAAAAGCATAATTATAAAATAAGACAATATTAGTCAAAATGATCCCAGTCTGATTCCCTGTATGGTACTGAGCAGAAGCTCCCATGAAAAGATCGTGTCTTCCTCCATCTCTCGGAGGTTGCTTCCCTCCTCGCTCAAGCTAATTTTGAACAGGCCTCTGAGTTCTTCTCTAGTTAGTTCTTTCTGCTTGTTCGCAAACAAGGGAAGGAAGACTTTCCAGTTTTGTTCTATGATCTGCCACATGTTGGCACATGAGTTCATGTCATCTTTGAACTGTGAGATCACGTCTGCTGAAATAGTTTCCAAGAAATTCACATACTGTATTATATACTGAATATTATTTTAAAAACATAGTCACAATGCAGTATCCTCCACAAAAATGGCCACCCTATGTAAATATGAGCTTGTAAAAATTGTCTTAGCTGTTTATCCTTTTAATCTTTCATTCAAAATATTAATATATATAAAATACAAATTTTCTACAAAACATGTCTGCCATCATTTTTTGACACCTGTTCAAATTGCAATGTAAACAATGAAGTCCATTCTCTTCATTACATGTTTTAGTTTATCTGAGCAATTAGAAACACTCAAAGCAGGGATGCCCAAAACCCCTGCAGAATTTAGCTCTAACCCCAGTTAGACACAGATTAGACAGAGGTAGAGCACCCCTGACCTAAACTCCAAAACCTGTGAAAGGAGATGAAAATGATAGTCCACAAGCGTGGACCTCTGAATCTGAAATATCTGGAGAGAAAAAAAGGGGGAAAAAAGTACTTTTGCAGAGTCAGTTTTACTCATATTTGCCAAGGGTGCCAATATCAGTGGAGGGCACTGTAGCGAACACGATTAAATATGTAGACTGATTAAAAAGTAAATTATTTCGAGTTTCATACCGAAAGTGAATGTAGTGTTTGATCAGCTGCCTGTAGATGTGTCTCATATCCTTGGGTGTTGCACTGTAAATGCCTGGGACTCCACAGTCAACAATCCAGTCCCCAAGGCTTATTACTCTTCCATCTACAGTATGTCTTGTTGGGTCTGACAAGAAAAAAAAAACACCTTTAAAACAAAGAAACTCCATTACCATCACAAAACATAAATACCTCCTGTCTGAACTGTAGGAAGATGCATACCTGTCGCACTTTATCTTGAATTTCGACATCTGGCAGGTTATGCCAGTCAAATTCTTCTGCAGAATCTGGTTGGTCACACATTAGTTTGAATAATGTGGTATCTAGTGCTTTGATACCTGGTCCACCATGCATGAGAGACCAAGCTATTAGCATTCCCGCTGTGTAATACCGCTTCATCTCCACAGCTACTTGGTCATGGGTGAAAAACATCTGGCCTGCTTTCCCCTCAAGAACTCCAAATGATGACTGCACACCCTGCATCAAAAGCCTAGAGAAATAAAGTGCACAAATACAATGAAATAATTTAACTGATATTGAAATTAAAGCCTATACAATGTGTGCTTATTATTATTAACAATAATAATGAAGACATAATGATCATCTTGTTCATCATCTTGTAATGACCAGCTACTATACCTTATCCAATTTACAACAAATAAATATGTGGACAAGAAGTACTGATTTAAGTTTATTATCTTAAAGGTTCTACTAAGAAAACAATAGTCCATTACAAGCTACATAACAATTGGCCTAGCAGCAAGAACGCTGCCACAATATTACAGTAATATTAATACTGTAATACTTTGAGGTCATATTCAATGCCATTTTCTGTCATATTCAGTACATAATTGAGACACAGGATGGCACTAGTTTGTATACTGTGGTGTGATACAAGGCGCAAAAGCACCATTTCAGTTACCCAAAGAGTTGCCATGAACAATGGTAAATATTATACAATATCTGGCTGCAATAACTTAAAGAAACAAGATCAAGTCAATATTTCACATTTTTAGTATATTTGCTATTTCAGAAAAGACATCACAAGAATATTTGGTTGATAAATTATTTTGGACCAACCTGACAAAACTCTCTGCTAGATCCCCCACAGTCATCAGCACTTCCACCTACATATTCATTGTGGAGATTTGTGCCATACGAAGAAGCTACTTTTCAGCGCAGTACATGCACTATGCAGAACTTTCCTTCTTCTAGCCACTGCAATCATCTTTTCTTCCTAATTAAGATTTTCCTTTTGAAATATTCTGATGATGTCAACAGCAGTAACGTCATCCTAAATCATTGCAATAACACAAAGTTAATAACATAAATCATTATGACTTGGTAAAAGTATGGTTGCATGCATACATCACTTTCATGGTTAGAATAAACAGGTGAAAGTGAAGAAATTACATGGGGGGGGGGGGAGTGTACTTATAGCACAATAATTCATTAGGGATATATTTGGTAGAATAATTTACTGCCCTTACCTTAAGCTGAACATATACCGCTGACCTGCCAAACTATGGGCATGCTTTTATAGCTGCAGGGCAAACTGAGCTCAACTGAACAGGTATTACCCTTCGCCTCCTGTCAACTCTGCAGATTTCAGTTCCACCCTCTCCTATTATTGGAAAAGCTTAAATAATTTTCTGATGAAATGCCCTCTCATCCATTGAAAGTGGCACAACTAGCTTTTTAACTGTTACCTGTTGAAATTAAAATATAAAATCTGAATATTAAACATGAATATCACAAATGACAACAACAATGTTCACGTATAATAACCACATTTAATAATGTCTTGTTAGACACAGCAGAAAGCACTTACGCCGAGTTGTGATGAGATGCTCCCAGTATTTTCAATAAAAGAAATCCTGATGCTGCTCTTCCTTGCAGCTTGTCTCCTAGACGTGGCTAATTCTGTTGGAGCGAGGAAACGCGGGAGCAGTTACTAGGAACAGACTTTTAATGAAAAAAACAGGAACACATTAGGGATGCTCCGATACGCCTTTTTCACTTCCGATCCGATACCAGTGAAGTTTTTTTCCCTCATTTAAATAAATGTAGAATTTATATATCTCTGTGTGTGGAACTGATAAAGTCACAATCTACTAGATTGTGCCATTTTACAAACATATATAATGTTTGCAAAATGGTACAGCTTTTTAAATATCTGAAAGTACACTCTTAATATCAGTCAGTCACGCATTATAATATGATAATCAAGTATTATTTAATAATAGAAGTTTAGTAATTAGAACTTGGTAACCATGAATTTAGGATTGGTGCTGGTGCTTTTTTTGCTCATTCAGTGTTCCTGTAAAAAAAACGAACAATAACACTGATAAGATATTATTATTATTAT